GTCCTCGTAACCATGGGGTTCGCTCTGTCTGGTGTTCATCACACTTAGGTGTGTAATAAGAAAGCATGTCCATCTGTTCTCTTCATTGATAGATGGTCATACTTTGGTCCGAAAGGGACCGTCTTTATTCACCACTCTGCATGGTAAAAGTTATTATTAGACAGTAGAACCTCACGTCCATGTGTAATTGTTACCGGCCAGTTAGATGGTTATCTGAGTTGCCGGGATATGGCAGAATGGGCACTTGTGTTCAATTCATTCTATTGGCCGAGATTCGTTGTGTTTTGTTCCAGTTTGCATAACCACTAACCTGTTGGTGTTGGTTGGTGTGTTTCCTTTACTCATTTGGTTGCATGATGATGGAGGAGTTTATGAAAAACGTAAAAAGTTGCCAACATTATAACGATGAGAACACAGAAAGGAGATATATTAAATGTTCGCCAAAATTGAGCAAATTCAAGTGCCACTATTCACAAAATTTAGCTATACCGCTCAGTATCTTCATCCATCAATGAGACTGATCCCGTTGTCCCCGACTGGGTAGTCTAGCGTGACCTGCACAATATAGTCAAGGTTAGAATTTTCACACCATTGTATCACGTCTCATTCTAGCTACCTTTAGTTGTCTTCCGCTCACTTTGTTTTTCGTCAACAGTTTCACACTCAAGAGGTCTATCCAGTGTCATGCATAAAAGGGGGTGAACCATCCCACTTAGGGTGGGGGTTCTCAAACAAAGGTATTGGTGTCTGCCCGCGATTCCCTAATGCTCTTTGTCTAACCTTAGCATTGTTGCTTTAATTATTCCACCAGATTCATGCACTGCGGTGATGTGATATCGCAATCAACTGCTTCTTGATTGATCATTGCTGTGATGATGACGATGATGATACATGCACCATGCAGTAGCCCCAATCAAATGGCATTTTGTAATCGTATCCGATATTTCGGTCTTATTACTCCCCTCCCCCCATTTCTGCCTATATATGCATCAGCAGCGGATCCGGATTCTCGTTTTATCCGGGCAGAGTTTTCCGGGCCGATACAGTGCCGTGTCCTCGCCGGACACTCCACTCGCATTTTTCAGTTGGCCATTGAACGCGATTTGCACGTCTACCTCTTCCACTCGCACAACCATACGGCTGTCCCAATAATCGAACGTCTATCTGCAAGCAGTGCAACGAAGCCGGTGTTTGTGTTGGATGATGATAGTACTGGACCGAAACCAAGCCGTGGGAATCAACCGATTCTCAGTGTTTCTTGTCAGCTCCCCGGGGATAGTTCCTCAGCATGTGGTGAGCGCTTCTTGAGTTGCCTTTATCACCGTTTGAATTGTTCATATTCCTAATCCATTGCTCAATCGGGTTATACCACTTTCTGCAATCTGTTCCGTCAAAGGGTTTATCCAACCGTTGACCATATTTCAGACTCAGTGGCCGTCTTCCATCTAACCAAACCGGACACGGGATAGCAAATTGTGAATCAACGAAAATTTGCATAAAACTTAATATACTCACACGAACATAGGGACAAGTAACTCTTTGGTAATGGATTGTTTGCTTTAGCAAAATTTTCTCGCCTATGTCGCAGTTTGGGACGCTTCCAGAAGATTGTCTTCAAAAGCCGCTGGTTTGGTGAAGTCTCATTCTCACCTCTAATCACTGATTTCTTAGTGTGCCCTGCCTCAAGCATCGGCGGAGGAGAACATTCTAATCATTCCCTTCCCATTGCTATAGTGATTATGAAGAGCCAAAATAGCGAGCCATAACTGGATTGACGAGTGAGCTGCAGCTGCTGAAGCATATATATGGGTGTTGTCTTGTGTCAAGACAATGTGATCGATACGTACGCCTCTTCGCCTAGGCCCCGACAGCTGGAGAAAGAACACTGCTAAGGAACGACAGTCAGAATGTATCCTTGATCATGAAACAAGTAAATGTGTGTGGTCAGTTGGGCGTACGCGAGCAGACGTGGTTACGCTCCAATCGGATCGTGACCTTGACACTCAGGTTGATCGACTGACGACAGCCATTTGATTCGCCTTAGTCATCCAATCAGGAGTCGATTCGGCTTGGGCGTCACGAGCGCACTTGTGGTGTGACGCGCGTCGCTGCATGGCAGGACGGATTTTGTGCGCTCCGTCCTAACGGTGGGTGAAGCATAACAGCCATTTTCTGTCACCCAATAAAAGGCTTTAATACAAAATTGATACTGCTTTACATGTATCACAAAGAACCTACCATTTGAAGATGAAAAAGTGTATCTTAATGAGAGTATTGAACTCCCGTGGAGGTTAACTCCAAGGGATCGAAGCGATTATTTGGCTTCAGAAACATATATTGTATCACCGATCAGAAACAGGCAAGCTATCAGTACTGTACAGAGGATGAGAAAATTGGTAGAGATACATGCAAAGACCGTTTCAATGTCTGAAAGATTCCCACCACAGCATTCAGAACAAATACAGTTTGGCGAAACAATTGTTTTTCGGTATTTCCTTCTCAAGCCGTTTACAGATCACATAGGTAATATTAGAAAACAGATTACACAGTTAGACACATCGCCAATCATGAGTAAGAGTTTGTCATAGTCAACTGGCATTTGTCATTTGATTGCTTTAACTAAGTTACGGCATCAGGGTAACCGGACGGCGGACACACTCGGGACCGATCGACCATGGGCCATGGAAGTTGGAGTGGCTGAACCAAACGCTTTTGGGCGCAGAGGTCAGGGGTCAACTTTCTTATCCCGATCCCTTCGGCTATTGCTAGAGTGCGCATTTAAGCACCCTTGCACTTGGTGTGGGGGACACGATAATCAACTCTGAAGGCGACATTATTGTTTCGGTCTGTCCTAGTCTTAACCAGCGTGGAGGATGCTCTTTGATCCGGGTAGATAGCTGTCGTGCCGTTCGACCAACATAAGACGCGCCACATACGCATATGAAAGAGCATACAACCATTGATGAGGTCAGCATTGACAGTTCATCCTTGTTTTGTATGTGGATCATTGGAGCGCCACGAAACCGTAACTTAGCAGCGTTGAAGGCGTTGCCAATCTCCCTGTTCAGTCGTCGAAGTAGCATTTCGCTCACGGTATCGCCTTTGAATGGCAAACTGATGAGCAAATCTTTCGTTCTCACAGTTTTCATCGGAGTTTTCGGCATTTGTTCAATCAGATTTCTTTGGATAAAACGATCCGGGTATCCATTCTCACACAGGGTGTTTCTAATGAGCGTCAGCTCATCATCCAACAACTCCTTGGAGCCAATTGCCCTCGCCCTGGTGGCCAAGCATTTGACTAAGTTTCGTTTCTGTTGGATGCTAACGAAACTATTGAAATTGGTGTACTGGCCAGTCCATGTCGGTACACCTTTCGTACGATCCGACCATCTTCCATTCGGCCAAGAGATGCATCCAAAAAGGATAGTTGATCGTTCGTTTCATGTTCGATTGTGACATGTGCTGCTTTGTGCGCGAACTCATGATTGGTGATGTGTCTAACTGTGTGATCTGTTTTCTAATGTTACCTATGTGATCTGTAAACGGCTTGAGAAGGAATTGCTGAAAAACTTGTTTTGCCAAACCGTGTTTGTTCTACATGCAAAGACACCAGAAAACATGGTTAGAGCGAGAGAATTTCTTTTTCATTGTTCTATTCGCTTTTTCAGAGTTGATTGCAATCTGTAACGGTATAATCGAGCCTATTTACTCACATTGTTCATTCTGTTGTATGTGAAAATAATAGAAGTTCACATGGCAACATGTACTTTTATATCCCGTTTGTTTTCCTTCATATTCCGTTTATTCACTGATCCCCACCCCCCTCACAGTGTCGACGCTGTTGAGCGCCAATATTGGTGATCTGCATCTGGTCGCTACTCCCGAACTGGTGAGCTGGTTTAATTGGGTCATTGCTACTCCAACGAACGCAATGACTGAAGCGGTGCCCGACGCGACTTTCATACCCGTACGTCTGAAGCGAATGACCGATAATGATTTGTTTCGTAATGTTACTGGTAAGTGGATAAAAGATTGATTGATTATTTCATCTATTGTTTGTTTCACTTCATTGGCTCGAACAAACAAGTTAAAAGTGGATGAGCGAAGGGGTTGTTGTGCAGGAAGGAAAGTTAGAGACGGTGGTGGTGGTGGATTTAGAAACATTATCTACGTGTATGTGCCTCAGCATTCTCCCTGAAAGCCGCTTGGTTACACGGTCGAGCAATCAGAGCAACCATTGCCGAACTTAGTTCATTGGTTGGAACTGAAAGTCGATCAAGACGGTTGACGGGGATCCAGTCAACCATCGTTTTGTGTTTTTCAGTGTGCTCCCCCTTACCCATAACTGACCATACTTTTTGTACTATAAATGAAATTCCACACACTGCCAGCTGTGTTCTATTTCAATATCTGTGAAATTGCTGTTTGAACATGGAACGCTATTCCAAGACGACCATTTTGGAACCCGGTATGGAAACTAATCCGTGCGGTTACAACAATATGTAGCAGTTCGATGGTGACCGTCCCCGCCCAAGTACGTTTTTGATTATTTTCTTCCGTTATCTGTTCATCGAATATGCGTGCGCTTGATCGACGACATTGTGAATCGTTGTGTGACCGTCCTCAAGCGGTTCAAGCCACCAACTTGTCGCTTCAGAAGTCGTGTGTTTGAACCTCATCGCTGCCTCCTAACTCCGCCCCCTCCTCAATCTTTGTGTTATATGATGATCTTATAAATGGCTAGTTATTCAATAGATGGGAATACTCAAACTAAATAAAAAAAATAAGTGTTCGTGGATTATCTTGCTTACCAACTGGATGACGTGCAGTTTATGGGTTTCGGTCTGCGCACATGCCGAATGAGGGTTGTTTTGGCCGGATCCTTACATCACACTGCTGTGGCTGTCAACGTGCTGTTATTATTTCGGTGTTCTACCAGATAATTCCCTAGCCGGAAACACACTTCTGAGTGTAAATTTTAGTTGCGGTTCATTTTCACTTTTACCCAAGGAATGTGCGTCAAACAGTAATGGGTGATCACGACTCACAGGTCCATTATTGTGGGGAAAGGCGACCGATCTGTTTCCACCTCCTGTTAGTCGTGAAAAACCAGTCACAGTTAATAGTCACTTCAAGGTGCACTTAATGGACTCTGAGAAAACAAATTTGGTCTGGATGAACGCTTCAGGTTTGTATGTTCAGGGAACATGCGAAGAAACAACAAGTTGGGGATGGTAGCTATGGTGTTCTATTTTTTCTGTTTTCTGGCCTCGTCAATCCAGATCACATCTCTAGTCAGGGATGTCTGTGTTAACAGGGTGTGCTTTATACACTCGTTTTGGGTGGATTTCCAGATTTCTACATATGTATTACTACGAATATTCTGGATAAAATGTAAGTGGAATAAGAAAGTCATGAAATGTAGCCATTCGTCAGATTACGGTTAATTCATCGCTACCCCATGGAAAAATCTGTATGGATGGAAGGAAATGCAAGGTAACACGCGTGATGTAGATAAACAGCTATGCGAATTTGATGACAACATTTTTCACATGATTTCTCAACTCCTAGTGGTCACTGGTTTCCTCATGAATCCATTTGTTCGACTCTTTACTGATCCGGCTTGAAAAAACTGTGCATTTTGCCATTCACGGATCGAACAGTGTTCGTTTTAGTGGATTGAAACGGGTTAGTTCTTCACATGTATCTGGAGAACTCATCCGACGCTTTTAGCCGGACCAAATATGTTTTGTCAGTGTCTATTAAGCCTATCTTACAGTGACTGAGAAACTATCATTTTGATTTGCGGAATCGTCTTTTTGAATTGAGAAAGAAACACTGTGGTTGGATCCGCTTCCGTTCAGTGCAATTCATTGGTCAATTGGTCACACACTTTTTCTACCCCTGGATTGACTACTTGTCTTCTCACGCTCTTTCTGTGTCGAAATGAGGCTGACCTCAGTCGTGCATCTTNCCGATAAGCACAAATCAAAACAAAAATCACGAAATCGATCTTTGGTTGCCCTGAAAAGGGCAGTTTCCACGTCCTCCGTTGGGACCAATCTCAGTGGTTTTCCATGTTCTCACCGTCAACAGCAGGCATGTAAAATGTCTACAAATACCGTACGTACTTAGCGCAACGAGAATCGGGGATCGACGACGTCGCTTTCACAACTGACTGCCCAAAGAACTGCATTCGCCATTCTGCTTGACTGATTATCTCTTCAGGATCCCCTTGAAGGAGGCTCGGATAATTATCGCTCAAATGGCCCTTGACTTTGCTCTTAATCAAGCGCCACATATGCTTAATCGGATTGAGCATTGGCGAGTATGGTGGCATCCTCAGCAGCTTTGCCTCACAATATTTACNCGGTGAGAACATGGAAAACCACTGAGATTGGTCCCAACGGAGGACGTGGAAACTGCCCTTTTCAGGGCAACCAAAGATCGATTTCGTGATTTTTGTTTTGATTTGTGCTTATCGGGTCGGACCCAGATTAGCGTAAATCACAAGGTTTCATCGATCCACCGATTCGAACTCAGTCAGCGAGCTCGACAAGATGCACGACTGAGGTCAGCCTCATTTCGACACAGAAAGAGCGTGAGAAGACAAGTAGTCAATCCAGGGGTAGAAAAAGTGTGTGACCAATTGACCAATGAATTGCACTGAACGGAAGCGGATCCAACCACAGTGTTTCTTTCTCAATTCAAAAAGACGATTCCGCAAATCAAAATGATAGTTTCTCAACCTAATCCGCAAATGGTACCGTTTTTCACGAACAACGAAAGGATAAAACCGCTCTTTCCTCATTTCGTACCATGTACACCGTCATTCCAGAGATGTGTGTGTTTGTGTAAATGGACCGGAGAGTTTTGATCTCGCTTCGGCATGTGACAGGGAACCCTCTGGTAAAAGTCCAAGTGAATCACACTTGAAAATTCAACTCAACAGGGAGTTTCCGGCCAAGTGAACCACCTGATTGTTCATGTCTAGCAGCATGTTCCATGTTACGCTGAGCGATAAACAACTAAGGAGTACAAGTGTTTCTTTGAGATTGCGAACCGCAGTTTGACGGCTACTACCCCAGTGTTGATGGTAAGGATTATTCTCAAACGTCTACAATGATCTAGGATCATTCCCCGTGACCCCTTGGATTTTTTACTTTTTGTTTATATAATGAACGACATTTGTAAGCATTCTTTGATTGAAAAATTAGCTGTTTTGCTTCCGTAGTTACTATAACAATACACTGCGTACTTCTAAGCCAGTGATGTGCTTACCGGTGCGTCAGCATCTCTCAGTCATGTTCTCAAAATTAATTCGGCGGTATCTCGGTTTTACTACTGCGAACACTATCAGTAATTGAAAATTACGGATCGTCACCGTAGATTGTTGTGCAGCCTGAAACCCCCTATGGTGCACAGGCGTTTACGCACAGTCTTCCTCCGACCTGTGCATGCGCGTGTGCATCTATGCACGGACAGCGATGAGATGTTCTGGGGACAGGCGAGTGAGCGTGGGTGATGCAGTATATCAAAACTGGCCGAAGATGAGCTTTACAGAACGGTTCTCTTAGAGTTCGGGATTGAGATCAAAACCGCCCATTTTCTAATCAAATGTTGGGTTTAACGCTCACATAACGCGCTTGAACGCATTTAATGATAAAAAATGACCTGTAGGGTCGTGTACCACGGGGTCGTTGCTCTTTCTCGAGTGAGATTACTCATCATCAGAATGGTTACCCGATTGATCGGTCAAGTAGGCTGAGGCATTGGAATGAACCTCAAAACAGGTCCTTGTAGCAGAGTGAATAGGTTTAGGCTGATTGGACTGCCACAATACGTTTGGCTCGCAACAGGTACAGTTGGTAAACCGTCTCGCCGTAGCGGGTGAGTTTTAGTGGTGTATAACGTTCCCTCGTCTGAACCCTTTTACCTTCTGTGGATGACCGCCTAGCTGTAGACGATAAAGAACGAATGCTAAGGCAACTAACCTGGGTTGGTCGGGCAGGAAATGGACGTAGTGATTGATGAATTGATAAGCCGTTTATCATAGACAGATGTACTTGTGGAAATGAACTGTTGGGTTGTCTGTTTCGACATAGCTGCTGAATAAGTGCGGAATACTCCACTTAAATCGTGGTTGTCTTACAGTGCACTACCTCGTTGTTGTAGCGGGGTGTAAAGTATGGGGATTTTCGTCGTACGTAGAGAAAATAAAAAAGTTGACTGAAAATCCGAGAAGCCCTGTTTCGATCAGGTTGGGTCTCCTCAGCAGTGCGAAGCCAGTGACTGAACTGGAGATTGAACCCGAAATCTCACAGATGGGATACGAAAATAATATCTGCTTAACCACTGGGTAAATTGTCTGTTTCATTTGTTTCTGTTCTTCTTCTAGAACCATCCATCTCTGCAGGGTTTTTGTGATCAACCAATTTTGCTCATCGTAGCATTAGTTTACCGGATTGCGACTCTGTCGGTCCCATTTTGAACCGGACTACTTTTTCCGCATACAATTGATTACATGGATATAAACAAATTGTGGTGCGGCGAATTTCCTATTGAGGTCCTTCACTCACCGTCTTCTTTGTCCGTCTCTCGTTTGCTCCCTGTCTTATCTATTCCAAGGTAACACACCAATCCAACCCCGGGCGCTACAACCGTCTCTAGTGAATCATCCGGGTCCTCCTGGGCACGCAGTTCGTACTGAGTCTCTCGAATCCGGATCTCATCGAATCATCTTCGAACCCAAACCAGATTCTCAATCAATTCCCAATGTGGGCACTTCAACCTCATCATCTGTGTGGAACATTCTGGAACGTTTTTTCTCCGGCAAACACCGCATTTTTGAACAGACAGATGTGCAGGTAGATAGCAAAATCACAGATTCGTTTGTTGCGTGCCATTATATGTTTCAGTGTAAAAGAAGTGCAAGCTGAGTCGGGATGTCCACGGTGATTATAAGATGGAAAATGTGTTAACTGTCAATTTCACCTCTTCCATTGTTGCTTCAAACTGAGTTGGGTTCTGATTTAGGAAGATTCATTCATTCACTTTTATGCATTGTCGTTTGAAATAACCCTGTGAATGCTGGAGATTGTTAGATGGAGGTGTTAGTGAAAGTTATTAACCAATGCTTATTCACATCATCAAATGGTCCGTTGTCTAGAAATGTTTCCATCTTTGCATTACAGCGCAGGCACAATGTGCAGTAAGCTCCATGGCTGCCTAGCTCCAGTAAGCTCCATAACACCATGGGGATGGGAGATAGCTTTCAATTAAAACACAAGCGGTTGATTTTCGTCGAACAACTACTGCAGGACATTAAAAATCCATATCCTCCGCTGCTCACTGTCATCCAATATCCACCAACGGAAGCCTTCTATTTAGCTCAGTGCTTTAACAACTGGAATGCCTCCATCATCCCTTCACCGTTAGCCTGTACGCCAGGAAAACGAGACACGCAGGAGAACCAGATTGGTTGTAGAAATCACGCAACGAACATATTTCCATGTGTTATCTAATTCTTCTGTGATCTAAAAGCAACCTCAATGATTGCCCTCTGTGATTATTCCTGTTTACGAACAGTCAAAGCCAAGTTTTCACCCGGGTTCTGTATGAAAAGCGGTGTTCGTCAGGAATGCCTTCTTTGTCTCCTTTTCTTTCAAACTTTCTAGTAAATATAGTTTTTTAGTTGCTCTGTCCTCATGCGAGATTTGTGATGTTAATTTTCTCCTGTTTAGCGGGCTGTTCGATCGAATGACATTGCATCGTTCACTGAATATCCAGGGAACTTGCAAACCTTTTGGATGATTTTAGTGTTTTTGTAGCCATGTTTGGCGGGCGTTTTGCACTTTCAAAGCATAAAATGCTGTAACAGGATTGGGTTGATCCAGTTCCCTGAATCAGTATTACTGGGGAGACGATGGATAAAGAAGATTAATTTCGCTTTTTGGTTAGCTCTATTGTGCCTGGCTGGCATATCTCGAAGTGTCAGTAAGTATTCAGGTTTATTTGGCGTATGTCAATTTGAGATCCCTCTAGCTACATCGCAACATTCGGCTTCTTTGAAGGGTCAAGTCTATATTAACCGACCTACTAGTTCTACTATGTGGGCTTCACGTTAGAGGGATAAAGACAAACTGTCGGTGTTCGAGCACCGCTGTCGATCCCTCACTTGCACAAGTCTGATGGGACGGCTAGGTAAGCAAAGCCGAGGTGAGGAGATGAAAAGTTCAGATCATTGCGATCGCCTACTGTAGCAAGTACCTGATCTTCATTAATAGCGATGGCACGTATTACGCATGTCACCTGATAGGCTTTATGGACGTGCAATGTTTGCCCGATCAGGGAAAAGCAGTCCACGGAGTAGAGCAGAGCTCGTTTAAGACGCTTAGTTATACCAGCTCAGTTCATCTTTTACAACCATGAACCATGCTCTTTTCGTGCGCTGGTTTTATTTGCTGTCTTTTGGCCGTCTCCAAAAGCCTCAGTATGGTCGAGGGTGGATGTCTAGGGTTGCTGCTGGTCACTCTTCCCTTGCACCTCGTGAAATGCTCCCATACGACTAAGTATCTCGATTAACCTCACTGCCTTCTCTTGGCTGATGTGTTTTCGCACTAAGGTGAGAAGACGAAAAGCCATATTCGGGGTTATAATCAGGTTGATGGATCACTGGTAGTTCACTTAAGGTAGTTGGCCAAAAACCGTGATTCCAAACCAACCAAGAAAAGGTGTACGAACTACAAACGACCTTGGATCTTCCCGGTTGTGGCCGTGGTCACCGGCTTGATTGGGCATCGAGCGGTATTGGGCGCCTTGGACATATAACCCCGTCCGAAGGGCGAATGATCCGATGAACTAACTGGACACCTGCTCCCAATGGATTACGGTTTTCAAACACCGCCGTGCTGCCCCGCGTGTCAGGCTTTGACTAGCCAAAGGCACTGGTTGTGGATTCCTCAAGAGAATTCACCTGCCTTAGCCTGGGTAACCTGTCAGTATTCCGCCCACATGCAAATCATGAAACGTCTATCTTTTCCATTAAAAATATTGTATCACGATTTGTTTGGCACACAGCCTGGATTCAGACGTGTGTGAAAATAAATTTTAAAAATTTTGGATGAAAAAGCAGGATGAAGGTTGGAATTCCGAGAGCAGAGTCAAAGGAGAGATAGAATTCATATGGACTGAGGTTGCAAAAATATTGAGTAAATGCACGAGCTCCACTGTTTGCGACACCCAACCATATCACTCAGTGTCGCTTTTAGAGATGGGGGACAAGCGATATCAAAATGCGCAATGACGATCCGATGTCTAAATATCCCGTGTTTCTGGATCGCCCAGTATGAATCAGGAAGAACCACTGGTTAGTCAAGGGAAAATATATTGTCCCCTAGAAGAACCCTAGTTTAGTCTGATTATGCTCGAGAGTATCTGAAAGCGGAAATGCTTAGCAAGCGAAAGGTGTAGCTCTGAACTCACGCACCGTTTAAAGTGAAGAGTACTTCACTGGAGTTGGTAGAGACTTAAACAAAGATAAAAGACTTAGCTGAAGAAGCGGTCTCAAGATATCAAAGATCCTGGCGGATTCTATGCTACAAAGGAGAAGAATGCACGGGCGAATGCTCCAAGCAACCAATGCCTGCAATCATGTGAAAGCATGCATGCGGAACAGGCAGATCAAAAATGGTGGCACTCTCGAGCATGTTACACTGTCGGTCTCAAGCCATTACACGCTAACCTTTGGTTACCATGAACTCGAGGTCCCCATTCGGGGAGATTAACAGGACCTATGTGACCCAGTGTCCTGGTTAGTGTTTGCATACCCTCATGCAAGGTCTTAGTTTGGTGCTTAGTCGTATAGGATCATTTCAGGAGGTACAACGGAAGGGTGACCAGCCACAGTTCCGTCTTTTTCCTATGTTCTGTATCCCAACCCCCTCCGGTTATTGTTGTGGCGTTGGCACTATGCTTGTCCGCAAGCTGGTGTCTATCCAATGGTCACTCGGTGTTGCAAACAAGGTTGGGTGAAGTATATTTATTCCTGATTTTTGTCTTCCACTTCTATGTTTTTAGTTCTCTTCTATTGCCGTTTGAATTAGCGTGACCTTGAGGGTTTCGATAAAATTTGTAGTAGTTCGAAAGTTGCGGCTCAGACTTGGAGAATATTTTAAAGAAAGCAGCACGGGAATTTATTCTTTTTAATACATTATTCCTGTTCCATGACAGTGTTTATTAAGTTGAGCCCATGCATTGTAAATTGCTTCTCTTTTTATTCAGTGCACAGTAAATAAGCAAATTAATGAAAATATTGTAACTTAAATTAATTGATGAACTTTTTGGCTCCAAACTACTCACGCATTATCTACAATATAGAAAAAACTAAAAACATAGTCCAAGAAACATACAAGTTGATCTTCGAAAGTTGACTTTGAGATGTGCTGCTCGTTGAATAAGCGTCTTGCTATATCACTATACCCCAACCGGGGGAAACATTCGGACGGTTTTGGCATATAGTTGAAGCCTAGAGGCAACTTAATCGAAAGACACATAAATTCGATGATTCAGTTGGTTTCTTGTGGAAGCGCTTCGATGCGAATAAAAGTCCAGTTCATAACATATTCAACGAAATTTCTCCATCAAGACATTAACCGAGAGGGGGAAACCGATCATATCGAATCAAGACGATGGTTGTATTTGATCGCAGCAGAGAAGAGTTGCACAAAACCAATCTCGAGGATACTCCGGGCTGATTAACCGTTTTTCCCTTTTGGAAAATGATGGCTCAATTTAATTATAAAGTGCATCTGAGACCACGTGATATGAAGTTATTATGGAACGCCTAACAAAGCAGAGGACGTATGGATTTTACCAACATATTCGCGTCGCCCTTCCGTTTGCCAATGGGTTTATCTCATTGGTGGTCAACCAGTAATTCAGCATATGGTGAAAGTTGATCTGCAGAGCTAGTTTTCTAATGAATTTCGTTTTATTTGTCAAAAGAAGTGAATATTCATTCCGCCTTACGAGTTAGGACGGAAGTAAATACCGAGTGTCTTGTTAATGGTCTCCTGCACACACCAAACTGGATATCGCAAAACGTTTTGCACTGATAAAGGAGGTTTCCGGTAACTGCCACTCTTTAAATACATTCGCTGAAGTCATTATTCACAGATGAAGGTTGGTATATCTTCTCGTTTGGGGTTGGTCGTAAAAAACTGTTAGATCTGATTAAATATTATTTTTTTCCATTAATGCAGTCTCTGTAGGGGTCAAGTTAAATGTTAAATTCATTCAAATGCCGCGCAGAAGCTGGGATTTTAATTTAATCGGAAACATTTTATTGTATCAGACAAGGATAAGTCAGTTGCCTCGACATTGGTTGTTAGTGGTTAGGGTGTCGGGTGTGTTAGAGGAAACCGCCAATATTGCTTGTCAGTCAACTTGGTGGACTATATGCCAAAGAGACTGCCTGGAGTGCTCAAAAATAAAGGAAGTCAAATGGAACATTAACGAGATGAAAGTACCATACCCGTATGAAGTCTATGAGTCATTTGAATAAATAAATTCTAGTTACGTTTTTTACTGTGACTTTGCTATTTTACAACTGATGCACCAGCAACCATCGTCAAAATCGCGAAATCGTACATTTTAATGGCATGTGGCTAATAAAAGCAAAGACATTAGTGGGTATTATATCAGATATGTTACCTCTGATGTGGGGCAATATCATGTTCCATCCCGTGAATGAGCCTGGAGACAATAATGAACTCCTAAACCCAGATGTTCATTGTTTGAGTTTCTGCAATACCATCTTAAATGCGCATTGTTGCTGCATGCTAAAAGAAGCGATGCAATTGTCCAGTACGTATTACTCGATTTTTACAACCTTTTCTTCACGTTTCCCTTTGTTTCACGGATCAAGGATTTGAAGATGGCGCTTTTCGCGTTTCTTTTGAAATCTCATGCTCATTTTTCATTGGATTGGAACTTATTTCATAACTGTCATCCTCTTTTCACTTCTTTTTATTCATTTATCCACAGCTTTCTTTGTTGCCGTGGACGTTCACTGTTTTCACCGAGTCGCTTCCACCGGTTCGCCTGGGTGATCATAGTTGGACCTCATCCGACCCGTGTATTAACGCGGTTTCTCTGTGTAGCTCGTATCGCCTTTCAGATGGTTCTCATTCGCCGGTGCAATTACGTCTCCCAAGACTGACATTGGACAATACGGTTCGTTCCAGGCGATCGTCAGGCACATTAACTGACCCGTCTTCTGCTCGTTCCTGCGGCTTAGTTTCCGCAGTTTACAGTTGGTCAGACGCAGTGCGACACTTACCTTGGTCGTCGACGGTAACAAGTCCACATCCGATACCGTGGTTTTTGAATGCTTCGGAGATCCAACTGATCACCGGTGACCAGGTCTTGTTCAGTAGTGATCTCTCTGCGTCTCTAGCTTGTCGCTCAACCGCCGTACCAAACAAGCGCACAAACGAATTGACAACTATGCTCGACTGGTGTGTCCACATTCTAATGTCTTGTGAGGACGGGTATAGTCGGTTGAATT